GCCTGCATATCAAAGTATAGGTATTTTCAGGGAGAACTCCTTTTTTTAATACTGTTTAAATTTTTTTTCCTTCATCTTTTAATTTAAATTCAATTAATTAACATATAATGTATTATTGATTTCTGAGGTAGAGGTCAGTGATTCATCAGTCTTATATAATACCCAGTGCTCATTATGTCATGTGCCCTCCTTAATGCCCATTACCCAGTTACCCCATCCCCCCACCCACCTCCCCTCCAGCAACCCTGTTTGTTTCCTATGACTAAGAGTCTCTTATGGCTTGTCCCCCTCTCTGATTTCATCTTGTTTGAAATTTTCCTCTCTTCCCCTATGATCCTCTGTTTTGTTTCTTTTTTTTTTTTTTAAGATTTTATTTATTTGACAGAGAGAGAGAGAGAGAGAGAGCAGGAACACAAGCAGGGGGAGTGGGAGAGGGAGAAGCAGGCTTTGCACTGAGCAGGGAGCCTGATATGGGGCTCGATCCCAGGACCCTGGGATCATGACCCGAGCCGAAGGCAGACGCTTAGCCAACTGAGCCACCCAGGCGCCCCCTCTGTTTTGTTTCTTAAATTCCACATATAAGTGAGATCATATGATAGTTGTTTTTCTCTAATTGACTTATTTCGCTTAGCATAATACCCTCTAGTTCCATCGACGTCGTTGCAAATGGCAAGATTTCATTTTTTGATGGCTGTGTAGTATTCCATTACAGTCATCTGTCGATGGACATCTGCACTCTTTCCATAGTTTGGTTGTTGTGGACATTGCTGCTACAAACATTGGGGTGCAGTTGCCCCTTCAGATCACTACATTTGTATCTTTGGGGTAAATACCCAGTAGTGCAATTGCTGGGTCATAGAGTAGGTCTATTTTCAATTTTTTGAGGAACTTCCATACTGTTTTCCAGAGTGACTATACCAGCTTGCATTTCAGGGAGAATTCTTTATGTGATATCACCAAGAATGGGCAATATCCTTGAGTTACAAGATTTTTAATTGGATTTTTAATATTTTTTAAAATGCACATAGCCAAAGTATAGATGGTGCTATTTTTATGCCTTAAATGTATTTTTCATGGAGAAAAAGATAAAGCATCCAGCTGGCTGACTTTCACCTGGAGCAGGTGGCTGGATGGAAGACAGTGATAATCCAACAATCTGTGCAGTGGCTGGTGAGGGCTGCAATCAGCTTCCATGTCACTGGGTTCTCCCTCCAAACCTCCAGGCCTCTCCTTACATGGTTCCAGCTCCCCCAGGATCCCAGGGGTAGGTCCCATCATCATCCACTCCTTCCACGGTACTTCTTCCTCCAATCCCTCCCACCACCAACATGCCAACAAATCTTGAATCTCCCTCCTCAGACCAACATCAACTGAGTACCATGCTCAGACACCAACCACCCCCTGGACATCCCAGGCTAACTTGTCACTGCTCCTCCCAGTGAATCTGCTCCTGTCCACCTGCCATGTCTCAGATGGTGGCCACTCAGTCTATGTGTTCACCTAAGCTTGTAAGACTCACCTATGTCTACTGTTTCTCAGCCCACACCCACATGAGCACCACTTCATACACTCACACACCCTCTCCATCCCTTCAGCTACCACCTCTGTTTGACCCAGATACCTCCAGAGGCAAAATCTCTGCAGTAAGATGTCTTCGGGGGCCAGATGGGTTAAGTGGAGTCCACATGCTTCCTGTGAATATGATGTCCACCTGAGCTCCCACCATATCTACCCTCCCAGCCAACAACAGCCTTACTTTTGGAATCGGCCTCTCTATCATTTCTTCACCCATTGAAGCTACCACCAGAATTCTGCAAATGGATGAGTCCTCACAAACACTACCATGTGAAAGCAGAAAACACCTAACCACACAGCCAACTGACCCTCAGCCATGGCCAGCTGGATACACACCTTGCAGACTGTAGAGTGGCACTTGCCACTCATTTTGTGGCCCCAGACTCAGCGGCATCCTCAAAGTGGGGTCACACCAGGTCTCTGTTATTTCTGATATTCACTTCATAGGAATCCTCACAGACTAACCTTGAAGGAAATTGTGTTTCTTTGATATGCATGTCACAAAATCCTTCCTGATCACACTGTGTGTGTAGTGTCTACATATGTGGGTATGTCTATGTGTATATCTGTGGGGGGAGGTATGTATGAATGGATGGATGTGCATGTGTATATGTATGTCCATGCATGTGTTGTGAGAGTGTATGTGTTTAAATGTGTATGTGTGTGTAAGTGTGCATGCATGCATGTTTGTGTGTATATGTGTGAGTGTGTATGTGTGTTGAAATGTGTGCAAGGGTGTATACATGTCTATTCACGTGTATATGTATGTGTTTTGAGCATGTATATGTGCATGTGTATGTGTCTATGCATGCATGTGTGTGAGCATGTATGTGTTTAAATGTGCATGCCTGTGTAAGTGTATGTGTGTGTGGGCATGTCCCTGTGTGTCTGAGATGGTCTGCCACTGGTTGTGCCCAGGAAGAAGCATGTGGAGTCCTCCATGGTCACTCTGACCCCACAGCTGAGCCCACACCATGAGGCCCCCAACTGCACAGTGGTTTACCTTCAAAATTGACCTGGGTTATAAATATCACCACAAGGATGGTTAGGATTTGTCCCACACT